GGCATGCTCTGTGCAGTGTCCTCGTGCACTTGACCGTGAGAGGGCCATGAATCGCGTCCTGCCGCTGCTGGTGGGGGCGTCCCTGCTCACCCCTGGCCTGGGTGAGATTTTCTCCCGACGTGAGTGTGGAGACGTCCAAGGGGACTTTTACCAGTTCTCCGCCAAGCTTCTGAATGACTCTCAGGACATCAACTTCGACCAGTTCAGAGGCAAGGTGGGTGATGCAACGAAATGTTGTGGTTTCCCTTTACCAATTTAATAAAAGTAATTACAAACGTATTCCTACATCAATTCCGGAGAAGAAATTTCAGATGACCGAAAATAAATTTATAATGTTTTCGTTTCTTTGGCTCTGAGACATTCGTGATGAACCACCAATGCTACATGGCTTTGATGGGTATAAGAATAGATGTGCCTTGAAAACTTCTGGGGCTGTGGGTAGTGAGTTAGCGTCACAGTTAATGCTGCTGATACAGACATATCACAGAAATACTGTCTGTGAAAAATCTTCATATTTTTAGCTTCGTGGCTCAGTGGTATAGCATTGGGCCTGCGACACTCCAGCACCACGGTTTGAGTCCCTATATGTATAGTCACGTAATTGGCAATTTTAATTTTACTATCTTGAACTATCTGAGATCATAAATCAGATGATTCACTTATCACTTGCAGAGGAATTATCTCCACGGAGGCCTGAGTCTCCACCACTCTTTGAACTCATTGACTCACATGGGGTTTAATTTCTCAAATGAAGAAAATAATAAGAGTTTTTTGCTTCTGAAAAGGTTCTCACGTATCTCTTTTGTCCAGCTTAAGGAATCCTATTTTCTCATCTTGAAAAAGAATTAATCTATAATTTGAAGAATTAATTTTATCTCTGCCTCCTTTATAAGTAAACAAGTCTTTTCACGTTGTTTTGTATACAATCTTGCAAGAAAAGATGCATCTCGGGTCTCACTAACACCCCATACACATACTTAGCTACTTCCTGCTAGAGTTTTACACATGCATAACCACTGTGAAGTGAGTTAAAGCATGTCAACACACCACAGTTCTCTAGTCAGTTGTGCCTAGTCAGGTTACCCTGGTCAACACTAAGTGTCATCTGAGTCCACCGTGACTATAGTCACCCAAACAAAACTTGGGGAAAAAATAACTGTTTTAATGTTATTATTGCTACAACCCAGCAACAAACCTTATACCTACCATGTTATGGTAGAACCAACATCGAACCAGTCTCATTTGGTGTAACTAAGATGTGTGTGTCCTGCAGGTGGTTTTGGTGGTGAACGTAGCCACTTACTGAGGCCTCACCACCGCCTCCTACCACCAGATGAATGCACTGGCAGAGTTTTACGAAAACCAGGATCTCGTCATTCTTGGTTTTCCATGTAACCAATTTGGTAAGGTAAGTCAGACGAGGAACTGTGTAGGGAAGCAGCAATTATAAATCTAGATTGAATTTACAGAAAATTTAGCTTCTTTAGCTATAAATGACAAAATTGGCCAATAAATTAGTGTACTAAAAAACACAGGAATTGTTTTAATACAACACTTCATAAATGACATCACATTTTTTATTGATTGAACATCTATAATTAATTCAAAGTGAAATTTAACACTCGTGAATGTAAAAAATATCAAGAAAGGATTAATACAAAGCCGACCTTGTGCTCGTGAGGTAGAGATTCTGTCTACTCCACCACTGAACATAAGAGAAAACGAGCACAAATTTAACTGTCTGATCAATTATAACAGTTACTGTTGCCAATTATATTTTGTTTTACAATCATCTTTGATGCCATTCTGGTGTTGTTATGCTTTTGGAAAATTTCACAAGTATCGTTGTTCAGTGTAGCAGTCTGTCTAGATTATTATAATCATGGGGGAGAGCTAAACCCGTAGGATTATACAGCCCACGCAGGGGGGGGGGATGGAAGGTATTCAGGGAACCAGAGAACAGATCCAATTCCCTAGATCAAGAGCCCCTCACCAGCGTCAAGGAACCTCGCTTGAGGGAAGGCAGTCCAGAACATGAGTCCTTGATGGTGCTATCTAAGGACACCAGCGACTGGATAGGATATCTTTCCAGTCATACTCTTTGCTTTGAACGTGTTGTTCGGGTGTAATTCGCTAGTTTTCACGTATCATTCTCTATAACGATTCTTCGTACAAACTCATTAACAAAACTAGGCGCTAAACTTTTACAAGCTCAGTGTTGTAACAGTTATCGTACTTGTCTCACACGCACGTGGAGGCGTGCTGTATAATTCCTTTCTTTGCTTTGTAATTATTCTTTAGGTTAGTCTTCAGATTATATCTGCATTATCCATGAATATTGTTAAAATAAAAAGCATTTCCAATATAATTTTTGGGATTAAAACGCTAAGAGAAATATTACAGTTTTACTTTACATGGTATCACCTTTTTGGTCTGTTTATTTTTTTTTTTTACCGTGGACTTGACTCTTCTTCTCGCCTGGCAGCAAGAGCCGGGAGCCAACGCCACAGAGATCTTCAATGGGATCCAACATGTCCGGCCTGGAGGAGGCTTCCAGACTATGGTGACTCTCTTCCAGAAGACGGAGGTGAACGGCATCAATGAGAACAAGATCTTCACGTTCTTGAAGGTGAGGTGCTGTCGTTCTTGAAGGTGAGGTGTTGTCGTTCTTGAAGGTGAGGTGCAGTCGTTCTTGAAGGTGAGGTGCTGTCGTTCTTGAAGGTGAGGTGCTGTCGTTCTTGAAGGTGAGGTGCTGTCGTTCTTGAAGGTGAGGTGCTGTCGTTCTTGAAGGTGAGGTGCTGTCGTTCTTGAAGGTGAGGTGCTGTCGTTCTTGAAGGTGAGGTGCTGTTGTTCTTGATGGTGAGGTGCTGTCGTTCTTGATGGTGAGGTGCTGTCGTTCTTGATGGTGAGGTACTCACAACCAGACGTAACTTACACTGGAATGAATTAAGGGTGTCGAGATTTTTTTTTTTTTTTTTTTTTACAACCTGTTAAAACTGCATAATATTTACATGACCATCGAAAACATGTATGATTTACTTATCATAATAATGACCCTTTGTGGGTAGAGTGAGAAAAACAGACAGATGAGATTTTTTATACTCAAATTTACTCCCTAAATAAATTTAACATATTTACAGATGGGGTTCTAGAAGAAGAGGTTTGAGACTAAACATTAACGAATTTGATACTAAGTTGGAGTTGTCACAGGATTTTTTTTGCAGATGACGCAGTTCTTTTGGGAAATTCGGACGACATTTTGCAAAGGTTGGTGTAGGAATTTGAAAGGGTATATAAAAGAAGGAAATTAAAATTGAACAAGGTAATGGGAACAAAAAAAAAAAGCAATGAAAGGGTGGATATGAAATCAGAGGAAGGGTATATGGAGGAAGTACATGAGTTCAGTTACTTGGGAGTAGACTTGACAGAGGAGGGGAGCTAAGAAAGACGAGATGCACCATAGAATTGATGACGGGAAAAAAGGAGGATGTACACACGGAGGTATCTGGGGAGACAAGACTTTTATCCATAAAGGCAAAACAAAAAATGTACCAGAGCATATTGTTACTAACAATGATATACACGTGCGAGGCATGTGTCGTAAACATTACAGTAAGAAGACTGGAGACAGTGAAGAAGTCGTATCTAAATACAATGTTTGTTGTAAACATTATGCGGAGAATTTGAGAATTCGGAGCTACATATTAGAAAGAACTGAGGAAGGGTAACCGAGGTGACAAGGGATGTAGAGAGGCACAGTAAAATAGGATGACCAGGAGAGTGTATAAGTCAGGGGTGGAGAGAAATAGTACGAAATAACGATACGATGGAAAAAAAAAAAGACACAAATACAGTATAATAAAAGATCGCATTATACTGTAGTATAATATACCGCTTGTATCTCTTTTCCATAAGTCTGCACTGGAAGGAAGGAGGGGTATGGGTCATTCCAGGAAAGGTTGGAGGGTGCGGGGTAAAGGAGGTTTTGAGTGCTACGCACTTGGACATCCAACAACAGGCTTTCATGAGCACGTTAGATTTGACGTGTTGGAGAGTGAGCAAGGTAACATTTATGAAGAGATTCGGGAAAACCGAGTAGCCTGACTTGAGTCCTGGAGGTGGAAAGTTCAGTGCCTGCACTCTGAACGACGTGTGAGGATGTTGCAGTTCAGAGGGCCATCTGAACCATTATGTCAGCATGCTTCTGATAAGACGGCGATTGAATAAGTGATGGTGAAAGTATTTCCTTTTTTTCGGGTCAGCTTTCCTCCTTGGGAGACGGCTTCGCTGTCAATATTATTAGTCAAAACGTTCATTTGAAAGTGGATATATATAAGTTCACTGCTGCGTCAGTGTTCCTATCGTGTAGAGACGTGTAGCGTCACATCGTGTAACGTCACATAGTGTAGCGTCACATAGTGTAGCGTCACATCGGACGGATGTACACCTGTTGCACTACGAGTTTTCTTATCACTACATATCCTGAACTTTTTTAATGTAAAAAAAGCTAGGATAATGTTTTTTATGTTAATAATACTTTGTCTTCTATAATTCAAAAATTGTTTCTGAATATCTAGTGCTGCATTAGTGACTCACTAAGCTGTCCTGTCCATGATTTGCTTGTATGAACTCTGAGGCATTATACTGTTTCTCTGTTGTCAGATTTTTTTTTTTGCTTTAGTTTCTCAGTGTTATCTGTTGTTAATCATTAAGACTAATACAACCGTTTGTGTCAAATTTTTTTTCTGCTGTTCTTGGGTTCAGAGTGGCCTCTTTTAACTTTTTGCTCTGTTAGAGCTTAATTAAACCAATATTATACCAATAAAAGCTTGTTCTGCAACGTTGTCTTTTCTTCAGTATTGTCATCAGTACACCATTCAGATCCAGGACATGTCTGTTGTTAAGTAAAAGGACACAAGTGCAACTAATGCGACATTTTAATGCAACTAATGTCACATTAGTTGCACTTGTGTCCTTTTAAAATATTGTCGGTAATTCTACCAACATTAATACATGTCTGTTGTTACTGGGAACTTGCAAATCACAAGTTGACTGACTGTACCACACTGTCTCAGTTCTTTACCTTGCCTTGGCAACCCTCTTACTGTATTCTTCTCAGAGCATCTTCCCCTCTCTATGTACGTTAGTGATATTTTTCTCATAAAAGTTCATAAAGCGCATACTGTGTGGTATTGACATCTCTCTCACAACACATGCTGTGTCATACACGCTGTGTCACATACTGTGTCATACACGCTGTGTCACATACTGTGTCATACATGCTGTGTCACACATACTGTGTCACACATGCTGTGTCACACATACTGTGTCATACATGCTGTGTCACGCATACTGTGTCACACATGCTGTGTCACACATACTGTGTCACACATACTGTGTCACACATACTGTATCACACATGCTGTGTCACACATACTGTATCACACATGCTGTGTCACACATACTGTGTCACACATACTGTGTCACACATACTGTGTCACACATACTGTGTCACACATGCTGTGTCACACACACTGTGTCACACACACTGTGTCACACATACTGTGTCACACATACTGTATCACATACTGTGTCACACATACTGTATCACACATACTGTGTCACACATACTGTGTCACACATACTGTGTCACACATACTGTGTCACACATACTGTGGAATTTCTGTTTATTTATTTTAATTTTTGACCCATATTTCCAGTGTTTGTTTATGGCCTCGGTCGTTCGAGCCGTAATTATTTTGTGTTTAAGTGGGACTTGCACATAAGTTAACAGAGTTAATAATGCTTATTCCTTTGGGTAACATTGAAAATAGGTTGAGCAGATATTTTTGAGAAGGACCTGCCTAATATGGGACAATAGGCCTGCTACTGTGTTCCTCCTTTCTTATATTCTTCGTAAATCATAATTTGAGTAATTTCGTCGACCGACAAAATTTGATAAGAGCCGGGATGTTAGCTCGGTATATTCCGATTTTTGAAAGTGATACAACGAGTACATGGCAAACATTTTCTCTATAAAATGTCGGTAAGAAATTAAAACGGTTTCGGTTTAATTCAAATGCACTTGTGGTAAAAAAATCGTGCAGGGTTTCTGTAAATATGCTGAAAAAATCTCGGTTACGTGATTTTTGTTCTTTTCTCAGACGTGTTATATACCCAGCTTAAAAATATTTTTTACGAGCCTAGCCGCTTGCTTTTCCAGGGTTGTAAAAACCTTTCCTCTCCAGGCGGTGTCTCAGCCTATTGGTTTTTATAAACCATTTGGTTGCCACTTTAAATTTATCTGGGAAATAGACGGCCGTAAAGGCTGCATTTAGAATGCTTCATTTTCTTAATCCTAGGATATCCTCGGAACCTGGGACTTATGTCTTATGTAGCGTGAATCTTTTGACCTTATTTGAAGGTATGGGGAAAGTCAGGTGACCTTACTCGTATGTGACTCTATTATTTCTGTTATGTTGTGAAATGAGTCATCTTTATTATCACACTTCGTTCATTCTACACTTTAAAATTCTTCATTATCTTCCTCTGTTATTTGGAATATTTTAGCTCAGAATTTTTTTCGACGCGTTTTCTGTCTCAGCATGAACACTCATGTATGGAGTTTTGTATCTGGAATTAGTCTCATCATTCATTGAATTCTAGATACAGGCGGCTCTCTGCGTCTGAGCTTTAGCAATTAAGTATTCCCACATGTTTCTGTGGATTGTCTGATTTCCTCCAGCAGCGTCTCTCTGAGTTGTCAGTGCCGTGGTCTGAGCTCTGTATCCCAGCTTTTTTTACTTACAAAATTTTGCATAATAAAGTACTGAGTTTGGGTTTTCTCACGTGTCATATGTAAACAAATATTTCACAATATCGTGAATATGTGGGTAGTTTTACAACTGATTTTAGTGACTGATTTTCGTTCTGCTTGCAGCACTTTTTAGCATCCAACTCATCAAAATCATCCAACTCGTTATTTAATTAAAAAGTTTTCCCTTGTAGGTAAATAAAGGCTGCCGTTCTTAGCTTCTCACTAAAAACATTCCAGTTTATCCCTTTCTGACTATCTCTGGGAATGACTTACATTTGCATTAGAGATTAATAACTCTCTATAATTGTTGTGAGAAAACTGTATGAGTGCATATTCAAAGGACCAAATACTGGAATGTGAAATGTATGTCTGGTATTTTTTTTTTCAGAGTGCTTGTGAGTATACAGACACAGACTTCTCGTCTAAAGTGTTCTACGAGCCAAAGAGAGTTGGGGACATCCACTGGAATTTCGAGAAGTTCCTAATCGGTAGGAATGGCAAGCCTCGAACCCGGTACCACCCCAGAGTAACTAACCCCGAGGATCTCAAGAGCGACATCAGTAATCTGCTGTACGAACTGCCTCCTGAAGTTCCTGACGTTCCTGAGGACCCAGGCGTAATTGTGACAACCAAAAAGCCTTTCCTGCGTAGAATTTCTCAGCTCTTTAGCGGGTAGCCCACGTGTTGCCTCAGAACTTCCAGTTCCTCTTCCTAGCCACGCCCATCCTGGTACAGCCCCGTCCATGATGACGCCGCTAAAAACCCTCAGGTGGGCGGCGTCTGAAGAAGTCAGGAGAAAGTAGCCTCTTGTGCATTCTGGCTGCGATTTTACTGCCTGCGGGATGTTGTCCAGGCTGGGCCGGGCTGGAAGGGCTACTAGGACACTTAATATAATACACAAAAGTTAGATGATTATATTCCAGTGATATAAAATATACTTAATAAACTGTTTCTGTATTTATTGTCCTCAGTTTTTTTCCTTTTTTTTAAGTTTGCATACCTAGTGTATTTCGTTATATATTTCTTGTATACTGCAAGTCATCTGGGGTTGAGCTACCAGAACACCTGAGTGGCAAGGAACGGTTGAAGTCCCTTGATTTGTATTCCCTGGAACGTAGGCGAGAAAGATACATGATAATATACACTTGGAAAATCCTAGAGGGATTAATCCCAAATATGCACACGAAAATCACTCCCTGTGATAGTAAAAGACTCAGCAGGAGATGCAACATCCTCCCATTTAAAAGCAGAGGTGCCACGAGTACGTTAAGAGACAACACAATAAGTGTCAGGGGCCCAAGACTGTTCAACTGCCTCCCAGCATATATAAGGGGGATTTCCAATAGACTCCTGGCCGTTTTCAAGAAGGCACTGGACAGACATCTGAGCAACCGGGCTGTAGTTCGTATGTCAGTTTGCAGTAAGAGCCTGGTTGATCAGACCCTGATCCACCGCGAGGCCTGGTCTCAGACCGGGCCGCTGAGGCGTTGATCCCCGAAACTCTCTCCAGATATACTCCAGGTACAATATGGCATCTAGTGTATGGCTGTAAGATCTATCATTTAACGCTCCTGTGCATATGTCTGCCCAGCCACAGGTTAGACTGACTCATAGTGAATATATGATCTCGAGTTTATCCGAAGTGTTAAACTTAAATATAGAATCTACTGCAATGTAAACAGATGAATTATATTCCATGAAACAGTATTAATGTAACGATGGCATACAATACCTACAATATGAGGAATTAGACACATGTGAAAAACCTGTCGATTTTTATTTGAAGACGCTTGTCCAGCCAGTAACGTTATTGACGCATCAGTGCAAAACAGAGGTAATTACCAAAACGTTTTCAAATAAAGAGGCCCAGGGGCTGCATATGTTTAATTCCTCTTCTTGTCTTGATTATGTATCATTATTGTATTGATACTTGCCTGACATATCATCACCATGGAATCTTGGTACAGAGGATATCATGGACATGATCTACTTCCACCAGTGGATGCTGCACGGTGCAGCATCCACTGGTGGATGCTGCACCGTCAGAGGCGGTGCAGGCCCTGCACCGCCTCTGACCTAACTTCAACTGCCGCATCTCATCTGATTCAGATTCGCCAAAACTAAGGTACTACACACCGGGTTTCAGACTGAAGGGCTGATTACCTCATTTTGCACTGTCTTCTGCGCATAGTTTTGCAAGGCTGACAGACTGAATACCTCATCTTGTACTGCTTTCGAATATCATCCCTGTAGTGAACTGGTTAAAGCAGTGGTTGGCGAAACGTCTTCAAATGAGAATCCTCAGGTGACGAACACATGTATAATTCCTCACTAGACAGTTTACTGCTCTATAATTTCTAATAGTATCAGTGTACAAAGCTCTATGATTTCTAATTAGCTTGTTACCATGTACTTTTTATAAGGTTATCCCTAGATGGAATGTTGATGCTGGAGAAATCTTCATCTCTACTATTTTTTAATGCTAATGTTTATCCCACTAAAGTAAATATGAATTTCCTGAGAGATAACAGTAACAACACAGTATTTCCAGTGTTAAATGTGTCACCCTCTGAGTAAATCTCTCGTATACTGTAGCTTTTCAGCTTACAATAAGCTGCGAGTCTACCTGAGGTTTAAAATATACATACATACATCGTACCTGGTTATAACTTTACTAAAAACCGCTAATTTCAACTTATATTATCTTTTTTTTTCAATTAGCTTCTTATGTATATATTTTTATCATTATTTTCTGACATTCGTTTTATTTTTGACAACCAAGTAACCATGATTATTTTAGCCTCTGATTGATTCTCCAAGGGGTAATCCCCTTGGTGAATAAATTATTCACATTACAAACTGTTGGTGTTCATGGAAATTAATTAAGCTGAAGAAATACTGGACAATATAAATATCAGGTAGTGTGACATCAGTTAAATATTTTCTTATTAAGTTTTAAATCTTTTTAAGATTTTTATATTAGATTACATTAAGAGAGACTTCATTAGATATTAAATGTTTATGTTACGCTTATTCTGAAAAAAATGGTTATAATTGTAACCATAATTTTTAGAGGTGGACCAGTAAGCCAGTGGAAGGCATCGGTCAGATGAACAAAAGCTCCAGCTGTGTGTCATCATTTGACAGACCCGCGTCAGGAAACACTCGTCCTGTTTCCTGACAAACGTTATACCTACCTGCTCATTCTGAAATCTCTATTTGATTGGCCTTATTTAATAACCTTCGGTGTTACATTGGCATGTATCTTAACAAATTCTATGGTAAAGTAAAATGCTTTACCGAGTCCTGTTTTGGTAAAATTGTCAGTCTGTTTAATAATGTTCGATTCTCTACTTTTCTTCTGAGGGTGCGTCATAGGGATAAGATAAGATAAGATAAGATTTCGTTCGGATTTTTAACCCCGGAGGGTTAGCCACCCAGGATAACCCAAGAAAGTCAGTGCGTCATCGAGGACTGTCTAACTTATTTCCATTGGGGTCCTTAATCTTGTCCCCCAGGATGCGACCCACACCAGTCGACTAACACCCAGGTACCTATTTGCTGCTAGGTGAACAGGACAACAGGTGTAAGGAAACGTGTCGAATGTTTCCACCCGCCGGGAATCGAACCCGGGCCCTCCGTGTGTGAAGCGGGAGCTTTAGCCACCAGGCCACCGGGCCACCAAGATATATTCCATCGCGTCTGGCATATTAATTCTTTGTTTACAGTTATCACTGGTTAAGAGACTGGATGTCTTCCCACTTACTTAGTGTTAGTAAGAAACAATAACATCTATACCTAAGGGAACTTTCTTGTGCCCAAAGGAAGTCAGGAAGTAGCGGAGGGGCAGAAATTTCCCACTCCACATCTCAGTACAAGTAGTGGCGTATAGTCTTTATCAATATAATAATTAAGTTGTGCTTTATGAATGCTGTTCTGCCACTCTGTACATATTGTAAACTTCTTCAGTAATGTGAGAGGGAGGAACGCTAAACCTGTAAGGGCTATACAGCGCCTGGGGGAATGAGAGGCAATCAGTTTAGTTCCAAGGAAGGAGATGTCAAGTTTAGTTCCTTGAATCAGGAGCTCTCACAGACGTCACGGCACCTCCCTGGGGAGGCCTCTTATACCAGTGAATCACACAAGCCCCCCCCCCCCAAAAAAAAAAAAAGTAAAGAAAGTTTTTCCCGAAAATAATGTATGAGAACACTTTCTGGTGTAAAAGTATTTATGGAGTGATTTACATGTACTCAAACACTGCATTAGTCAATTATCTCTATATAGTTTACTGAGCAGTTAACACTGGAAGTGAACAATAAATAATATGTGGGAAAATTTATAATTATTTGAGCCGTCTTGCAAGGTGTGTCAAGGCAGGTATGTGCGTGCCACTACCAACCACCCAGTGGCGTCGTAAGGGGGGTGGACGCGCCCCGGGTGACACCATCAAAAGGTGACACCATCAAGGGGTGACACCATAGAACCTCTAAAGCAGGTGACACTAATGGCTAAAACAGTGCTGCACCAACATAAGAGACAAATCCTTCGTTTCTATATAGCCTCTTATATGATTTCAGAGTACAAATAGGTCTATATAAGGAAAATCATTGATTTTGATGATGTGATAGATGATTTTGCAGGACTGAAGGCAAGGAAATGTAAGATCAGGTTCACTGAGATGTTACCTGTACTCAAGGTCAAATGTAAGATCAGGTTCACTGAGATGTTACCTGTACTCAAGGTCAAATGTAAGATCAGGTTCACTGAGATGTTACCTGTACTCAAGGTCAAATGTAAGATCAGGTTCACTGAGATGTTACCTGTACTCAAGGTCAAATGTAAGATCAGGTTCACTGAGATGTTACCTGTACTCAAGGTCAAATGTAAGATCAGGTTCACTGAGATGTTACCTGTATTCAAGGTCAAATGTAAGATCAGGTTCACTGAGATGTTACCTGTATTCAAGGTCAAATGTAAGATCAGGTTCACTGAGATGTTACCTGTACTCAAGGTCAAATCGGAACAAGTGTTTCTCTGATATTTCAATGTTTCTTTATTTTTTCAAGTTTTTTTTTTTTTTTGCATTATTGAATATGAGTAAACATAGGATCTGTTGCCTGTACTCAAAGTGGTATTTGAGTTTATGTTTCTTTAATATTACTACGATTATTTATCATTAATTAAATTGAGAAGTATTCTCCTGTTCGGTTTATGGTCCTTAAACGTTCTTTTTGCTAAACATTAGTCACTGGCCATGCAGTAGTGACGTAACTGAAGTTTACTTCCCCCCAATCCCCTGCCCTTGGATTTCATGGAGGTGACACCAAAGATGCCGCTCCGGGTGACACCAGCCCTAGCAACGTCACTGCAACCATCACTGGTGGTTGGTAGTGGAACTGGTTCATAACTGGTGGTCCACCAGTTACGAATCAGTATAAGCTATCTTCATACTTGTATAAGACGTAAGCACACTTGGCAACAAGCGACACACTGCACATTACTCCTTCAGCGTATGAATATATTTATACCAACAATCAATTATGGCAAATGAAAGCGTTGTAATGTTTGACTGTTTTATTTAAGCTACATTTCGCTCGCCGGGATGTTTCAAATATCCAAAAGGTGAAAAAAAAAGTTTACCTTCATGTTACATGTTCTGGTAGCTCGTTTTGTCTAGTAAATTGCGAGGGATACGAGTTAAAAATCCAAGAAATACACTGTCACCTCTCCATTATCATCAGATGTGAATATATTTTGAGACTAAAAAACACGGTATTAGCTTAGCAAATATATTTTGCAGTGTATAATTAACACGTACGTAACTTCCAGAGCCTATGTCAGATAGTGTCCAACAGCCCTTCCAACTCGGCCTGGCCTGGACAGCATCCCGCAGGCAGGAGAGTGGCGGCCAGAATGCACAAGAGGCTACTCTCTCCTGACTACTTCAGACGCCGCCCACCTGAGGGTTTCTGGCGGCATCGTCATGGGCGGGGCTACACCAGGATGGGCGTGGCTGGGAGGAGGAGCTGGGTTTTCAGCATCAACATGCGTCTGCAAGAGAAATTTGTGCGGAAGGGACAGTTTTGTCTGCGGCTGAGGGAACCCGAGGAACAACAGGAACCTGAGACAGAGTAGGAACCTCTTCGTACAGGAGGGCAGTGAGGTCGCTCTTCAGATCTTCAGGGTTTGTAACTCTTGGGTGGAACCGGGCCCGAGGCTTGCCATCCCTGCCAATCAGGAACTTCTCGAAATTCCAGTGGATGTCTCCAACTCGTTTGGGTTCATAAAATATGTTAGACGAGAAATCTGTGTCTGTATACTCACAAGCGCTCTGAAAAAAAGGATATTTTTTCGGTTTTAGTATATAGCCATTTGAAAGATCAAATTACCAAATACAAACAAGCCACGCAATGTACGACCATCTTGAATAAAAATAAAGTTCCTCACATGGATAATGAACTGCTGAAAGAAGCGGTAAAAACAAAAACACTCAAAGACTATTAAGAAAATACACTAAATTCAAATGCACCTTAAGGTCAGTCAATTTTTTCCATAAAAAGGCATTATTTTAAAGCCAACCCTAATATATGCTAAATGCTACTACCTGTAACCTTGTAGTAACTTTTTAATCTAGTTTACTTCTGCCCGGAATGCTGTGCACAATTAAGTACATAAAAAAGTTTAAATCCGGCATTTCAACATTTATTAACAAGATATTATTTAGCTATTTTATTATTAATAATTCAGAGACTGAATAAAAATTGATAATGGAAACAGAGCAGGACTGATGGATCACTTTCCATTATCCTGTTACTAGTTTCCAGTTCTTGCAAACTTCATGCATTCCGTCCTGGCCTGAGTGGCTCACCTTCAAGAACGTAAAGATCTCATTCTCATTTTTGCCGTTCACCTCCGTCTTCTCGAAGAGAATTATCTTCGTTTCAAAGCCTCCGCCAGGCCGGACGTGGTGGATCCCATTGAAGATCTCTGTGGCGTTTGCTCCCGGCTCTTGCTATCAGGTGAGAAGAATAGTTAAGTCCACGGTTAAAAAAATTTATTTCTAAAATGTAATTTTAAATAGTCAGTATTAATAAGTTATCATTGTGATATTTTATTAATAAATATTAAATGGTTACATTTTTCATTGTTCGTCGATAATGTAAATATAATAAGTAGATTAAGGAGGAAAGGAATCTTGCAGATTGGTCAGGTTGGCTTGGGCGAGTTAGACACTCGAACCAGCCCACCATTGATCATATAATATAAATGTGTCAGAAAGAAGACATAACTATATACAAGAATGTAAAGATACTGTAAGAATACAAGACAAATTATCTGGGTGAAAAGTAAGTGGTGTGATAGTTACCACGTCTGCCTCATGACCCGAGGCTCGGGCGTGCAACTAATTACTTTAACAAAAGCGAAATTTTAGATTGTTTTAAGTCAAGAAAGCTGCATTTCCTGTAAACTCTGTCTAAACATGTAATTACTGCTAAATGTCTTCACACATTTCACGACTGACTTACCTTGCCAAATTGGTTACATGGAAAACCAAGAATGACGATATCCTCGTTTCCGTAGAACTCTGCTAGTGCATTCATCTGGTGGTAGGAGGCGGTGGTGAGCCCTCAGTAGGTGGCCACGTTCACCACCACCACCACCTGCAGGAACACACAAAGCTTAATTACATAGACCGGGCCTACGGGGGCGCTGACCCCTGAAACCTCCTTCAGGTATACACCATCTGCAGGAGGGGATCTAAGTCTTGTGTTAAGTTGTTGAAATAACAGTAAAGCGGCTATGGTTTCTGATTTTTTGATCAGCAAAACTGTGCCAACTGGTGTTAATATAGGTAACCTTGCTAGGTACAGATGCTGGGAGAGATGAGCTGTGTTGACATGACTTTGTTCATTTTCCAATCAGTTTGCAAGCATCTGGGGACGATGTAGCGGACGCCTAACTATGCACCAAGATATTTTTTTCAGTATATATACGCCGAGTGTTCGCTTTAGTTGCTCCTTTAGGGATTGAACCATTCTTGCCAGGTTTATCCAGCTTAATCCAACTTGTCCAAAAATCGACATTAATAATCTTTAGTAGTTGAAGCATCTAAAGCAGAAAGAAGCGTAGTCAGACACCTTGATGGTCGTACACAGTATGTATGGTGCTCCCAACATTATTCTTTTGATGTCGTATTTTGTAAAAATGACGTGTAATGTAAACAACACGTCCTTCGTTCTAGTATGACACGAGAAATAGTATGAAAATTGAAGCAGTACGTTCAGGATTCGTGTTTGCAAGAAACTGCGAGGAAAAAAGAAAGAAAACGTATGAAACACAATAAAACAGGAAATATTTGCAAAAAAGAAAAAAAATATGCACGGGGGAAAAATCCAGGTGAAAAAAAAGGGAACAGCACAACTAAAATACATGGAAAAATCCTAACCTGAACTAATCGAGTAACATTTGGGTTTTTTTTTTCCTGTGGATTGTTCGTTTTGCATTCGTGGATCTTATTTCCGGCATTTTTTCCCGTTTACCCAAACGGACACAGCAGGAAGAGAAAGTTGGATGTGGTGGTCAGGAAAGAACAGTTTTCTGACATAGGTTTTAATTAAAAGATGATCAGTCCAATGATTAACCATCAGCCGGTCTCCCGGAACTTTCTTTTACATCCCATTAAAAAAAAGGAAGGATCACTACATAGTAAAGAATCCCGAGACAAAACATGAAACATTTTAAACCATCAAAAAAATTAGCAATTGGCATTTTATTTACACTAGGCGAGTACATACAGGTAGCGTGAGTTTCACACCGCGAGACAGGATCGACTTTCCACAGCTGTTTCCGGATGGAAAAACTATATAATATAATATATATATATATATATTATAATATATATAATTAATATATATTAATATATATATATATATATGTGTGTGTGTGTGTGTGTGTGTGTGTGTGTGTGTGTGTGTGTGTGTGTGTGTGTGTGTGTGTTGTGCGAATAGGTAATACTTGTCAATTAGCAAGAACTCGTTTAAAATAAGTCCTTTCTAAAATTCTCTTATACGTTTAAATATATTTTTTCATTTATATTAATGTAAAAATTAATGATTTTGTACCAAAAGAGCCTTAGAAAGCTTACCTAACCTTATTATAACAAGCGCAATTTAATTTAGCCTAATCAGCTAAATATATTTTAGATAATTTACAATAATTTAATAATAAACAACCAACACAATGAAACATTTTTTTCGTTAGGTTCAGAATGAATTTTGCGAAATTATTGCATACACAAATTTTCGCTTGCCTTATTAGGCAAGAAGAACCTTGATATTTAAGCCAAACCCGCAAGTTTTACTTAATCGGCACGACATATATGAAATACAATTATTTAAATTGTAAAGATGCAATTAAACTTGAATCAATTTATTCATGGGGCAAGAGATAAAGATCGAAAGAGAGAGAGACAGAGAGAGAGAGAGACAAAGAGAGACAGAGACAAAGAGAGACAGACAGAGAGAGACAGAGACAGAGAGAGACAGAGACAGAGAGACAGAGACAGAGACAGAGAGGGAGGGGCGTTTGTCAAGTAAAGAAAAGTTGTAGATTTAACTAAGACAAAGTAAATAATCCCCAGCATGTACGATCATAATAGAGCACTGTAGTTGTCTTACTGACCTATGACATTCAGGTCTCGTCATTCCTGTACCTGTCAAACCTGTTTTAGCTACCCTAAAATCTCGCTTGTTTAACGCTGCTTGGAATTTGTTCCACTCAACTACAAGGGCCAAGTCTAGGGCAAATGGTATCAATTACCAGTTTATACCGCAAGAAAATTACGGAACTTTTAATTATATCGTATTATTAAACCATACATCTTTTTTACATTCTTGATTTTCATAACAGTTTTAAGTCTTGTAAAGATGTTCATCTGCGATAATGAAGTATTTTTAAGTGTCAAAAGCTTCGTCTCTTTAGCTAACAAGCATTTTTTATTCACTGTAAATTACCTAGTTTTCCTCATTAGTATTAATGAGGTGCAGTTGCCTGTTAATCACCAGGAGCCTCAACAGCAGGACGCATCACTCACCTTGCCTCGGTACTGCTCGAAGCTGATAACCTGGGAGTCGTTGAGACTCCTGGCAGAGAACTGGTAAAAGTCCCCTTGGACGTCTCCACACTGGCGTCGGGGGATTATCTCACCCAGGCCAGGTGTGACCAGGGACGCCCCCAGTAGCAGCGGTAGGACGCGATTCATGATCCTCTCACACACGTGTGCACGAGCACACTGAACCGAGGTCCTCACAGATCCAGCACCTTTTATACCTGCCTTTCTCCAGGTGACCTTGTCTTGAGTCAGGTTTCGGTATACTAAAATGATGCATCATCACCTGGAGTAATCTTGATATATGTATACCACTGAGGTAGTGTTACGTAGTAGAAGCGTTCGTGGGTGTATCTGAATTTATAAAGTCTATTGTGATTGAAACTTTTTAAAAAAAAAAAAGCCTTTATTTGCATACTGTCGGTATACTCTACTGTTGTATTTTTGTTATTCGCAGAAAATAACAGTGTTGGTCGAAATAAATCCTTTGACTTTTTTTTTTTTGGCTGTCTTGGATAATTCACAAATACATTATTAATAAGACAAATATGATTATCCAAAGATTGTGTAATTGTACCTGAATAAACTAACTTACATAACTCAAGAAATCGTAATAACATACCACGGTACGGGCAGGGATTGAATCCGTGTTGAGTCGTAAAACTCACTCGCCTCAGGTTCAATCCCCGTCCGTACCCTGATTTGTTTACATACTTAGCACTAAATGCAGTAACCCTACATGTACACTATGAAAGTTATCGTGTAAGTCTCCACCAAATAAGAAGGTAAGCGGTAAAAAAAAATCCCACGTTTCAAACGTTTGGAAACGTTAGCTCAGAAGAATTTCCTTTTTATTACCTCTGCTACTCAGGGAGAAGAGTTATTTACTGAAATTCTTTAAATGTTAAAACTCCCTGTGTTGCATAGTACTGCTGAGCGAAACGAATCTCGATGAAAAAAAAATCCTAACGTCGCTCATGTGTTTAATTTATACACTTTTCGGTATTATGTAGCTTTTGTGAAGATATCAGTGTTTATATGCAAAAATGAAGTTACCTAACGTATATTTGAAGGTGTGTGTGTCCGTGAAATAGCAAAGCATATGTGCACAATTGAGGCAGAAAATTAACGTATCCTGTCAAGCGGTGAAATTTGACTCCAAACTAACCATGAAGAACCATGTTGTAAATCTAGCAAACAAGGCAGCCAGGAAGCTTACAGCACTTCGCCGTATCTCGCATCTGCTTGACAGTAGGGGTTGCAAGATTCTGTACGAGGCACAAGTACGCTCACACCTTGAGTATGCTCCACTTTCTTGGTTTGCCTGCCCCCCCTCTCATCTGCGACTGCTTGACAGAGTGGAGAACAGAGCAAAACGTCTCATCTCTCGCCTGGACCCATCCTGGATAGATCTGTCATTTCAGCAGAGCCTTCAACATAGGAGGGATGTGGGTGGCCTTACTGTTATGTATAAGGCCAATATTATCAAAGTACCACACTAGGATCCACTTCGAGGACAGCGTGAAACAAGCTTTTATGCCACAAGACGGACAGAAAGCAGCAACTTCACTCTGGCTGTACCCTTCTCAAGAACATCACTCCATCTGAGATCATATATACCCAGGATGACTCGAGTATGGAACACATTCGTACAGCATAATGATGTCAACGAGATGACGTCAGTTGATCAAATGAAAATGCTGGCCCACAGATGGCTCCAACTTCATCCTGTTCCCTACTTGTATGTCTCATAACAATAAAAATGCTTTCAAATGAGCTGATGTAGGTAACAGCTCTTAGCTTGTCAATAAAGTTAGGAATCCTTAACCTGTAAATAGCTTGTCAATAAAACTAGGGATCCTTAACCTTGTCAAACCCTGTGTAAAAAAAAAAAAAAAAACGCAAACAAATGCTTTGATTAGCTTAAAAAATTAGACAATTACGTAAGTGGAAACGGCTGCATGAAGAGGACAAACCTATCCTTTAAGGATAAGCCTATCCTATAAGGCTTAATGTTCGTCTTCAGTGAATAAGCTATCCAAGTGCAGATTGCACCTGTGATGCTTCTTCCAAACACATATATGTGCAAAAAAAAGGGCATGTGTAGAGGTTCATACAGTAGGTGTGGTCGTATATAAGCATAGTCCATATTTACAGTATATGATATGGGTGTACAGGATATGGTGATACACACAAATTGTGGGAGAAGACAAGTACGCCGTAAGGTTTTGACATTTATTTAAGGAAACATTTGATCCTCGAAGACCGAAAACGCCGCTAGTGACAGAACGTTTTCTTTAATGACCTCCACGTCCAACATTCTGCCTTCCTGGACAAAAATACAAATCAACACGGCCATCAACTTCTCTAACTAGTCACAAAAGTGCCTCGTGCACCTAGGTCTTCATATCAATACCTACGTCTCCAAGGCTCTTTGTCTGGCTCTGATCATATTCCCATCATCTTCCACGTCTTTTCTAACCCTATCCTCATCCCTATCACGCCCACTCCCAAATACACATAGGCAGACTGAGACACCTTCAAACATATTGAGAACACTGACCTCTCACACAATTACAACAGACCAATTTGATGGAAGGCATATAATACATTACACAAGCTGCTGACAAAGTAGTGCCCAAAGCACACTGCAAAATTCGCTACTTCTGCTTGTCTGACAAGATGAGGCGTCTCCACTTCTGGTATCGACACCGCTTCTCCTCAGACAGTAGGACCTCTCCATCCTGCGCAATCCACAGTCCGGATGAGGACCACAACAAACACCGGCTCTAACTTGTACACCGTAAAATCACACCGAATAAGAGATCCCAAGTAATTCTTGACTTTCATCAGGAAGATCACGGGAATCGAGAACATCACACACTTTCAACACATCACTCCGAAGAGACACATCTCTTACCCAGCAGAAGCTACACAGATTTTCAAAAATATCTGGAAAAACATAATCCATGGACACCCATCTAAACAACACACCACCTCCAACACTGGAATTCAATTCAGACACTTCATTCCAGACCAGACCACTTGCCTTTACCCTCTCCACATACGCACTCAACACCTTTGCCCAACGCAACAAGTCCCTTCACAATAAGTGTCAGGGGCCCAAGACTGTTCAACTGCCTCCCAGCATACATTAGGGGGACTACCAATAGACCCCTGGCTGTCTTCAAGCAGGCACTGGACAAGCACCTAAAGTCGGTACCTGACCAGCCAGGCTGTGGCTCGTACGTTGGATTTCATGCAGCCAGCAGTAACAGCCTGGTTGATCAGGCTCTGATCCACCATGAGGCCTGGTCACAGACCGGGCCGCGGGGGCGTTGACCCCCGGAACTCTCTCCAGGTAAGCTCCTGCTGTGTCGTGCGCCAAGTATGTTACATTTATTCAACGATCATCACACATCTACTGGCATGCCCTCTTGACCAGCAAACTGGTAATTCAGAGTACAGTAATTCGGAAATCCCACTGCTGCATCAATTATCCAGTTCAATTAACCAATAGCGTGAGAGCCGGCCATTCATCCTAGGCGATGTTTTGCCTGTTTGCCTGGCTGTGTGGCAGACTCTTGCTTATGCTGGTTCAGACCACTCCTACTGTTATGAGTGGCTCTTTGCTCTGTCTTATCGCTATACTGCTATCTTAACTTTGTAAATATTGTACATAGTGGTGAAAAAATATATGGTTAAAAAAAATTATCTCTTCTGTGTTTGCCTTGTCCTTTTATTGCAAGGTTGCTCTTTAATTGCTAACTTTGGTTACAGACAGGTGCAACAGGCCTTGAATTGCTATCTGTGTTCGTAATACACGCCTTCCAAGGCCCCTGAAACGTTTGGACTATCTCACACTATCTTCAAATGGCATCCTTCTCCATCATCCCTTCCTTTACTAACTTCTTTAAAGAGCCTGTTTTGCCTCTGGCTGCTTCCCCTTCCCCCTCCCTCTCTCTTCAAGCCTGTGGCAGTGACCCTCATTCCCATGATGCAGCAGAAAAACTTGACTAACCCGAGGGACTACAACACCCCTTAGTCAGCTAGAAATCCTCTGGAAGACATGCGAGAAATTCCTCGACTCACTACTACACATACACTTAAAGACCAAGTTCCTCCTTAAAAAAATGACAACTTGACTTTCGAAAGCACAGTCTGATACAAGAAGCTCAGCTCACCATACTGAACTTATCCATATCAACAAGGACAAGAACATGGAGAAGGCCTTCGACACAGTCTGCCACGATCGGGCTCAAGTTCAGGCTTTGTAACCTTACCGACCTTCCTACCTGTGGAAAATACTGTATATTTTCCGGAAATACAGTAATTTATAGGTAAATACATGCCCTATATTGTATTTTTAAAAGAAGTATGTTATCGAAAATGGGAAGCCTGCGCCTGCGCAGAAGACAGTCACCATTTTTGTTTTTGAATTAAGTAACAGACATTAGTAATGGAAAGAATTTTTCGTGCTCTAGAGATTAAATTTGGGCTGACACCTCTCAAATAGGAGGCGAAATTGTTGGATGTGCATTCCTGCATAATTTGAGTATCAGGCGACAGGACAGGACAACTCCAGGAACCTCAGATAAGCTGTCTAATTTATGTTTAAATTCTGGCCAGTAAATTTTTCATAAATGTAGGCAAAAGGGGGGGGGTCCTGTATTTATTATTAAATATTCGCCGGTATTCTCCCGGCCCGGGCCTTCTCCAAGTGGTGGCCCGGCCTTGGCTCCCTCTTTAGGGAGTGTCTGAGACCTAAGTCTCCCATGGGAGGAGCACAAGTACCTCCTCATTTTGGGACCAACTGTCCCCAGGCCTCCCACAAGCTAGGCCTCTCTGGTCTGCCATCCCCGCCCCAATGGGGCTATTATTATTATTATTATTATTAAAGATTCGCCGGTATTCTCCCGGCCCAGGCCTTTTCCAAGTGGTGGCCCGGCCTTGGCTCCCTCTTTAGGGAGTGTCTGAGACCTAAGTCTCCCATGGGAGGAGGCACAAGTACCTCCTCATCTTTGGGACCAACTGTCCCCAGGCCTAGCCACAAGCTAGGCCTCTCTGGTCTGCCATCCCCGCCCCAATGGGGCTATTATTATTATTATTATTATTAAAGATTCGCCGGTATTCTCCCGGCCCGGGCCTTTTCCAAGTGGTGGCCCGGCCTTGGCTCCCTCTTTAGGGAGTGTCTGAG